CGGTGTCACCATTATTGACTTTCTATGGAAAACAGTTCACCTGTAGATGCAGTGAGTGTAGCACACCCTGCAGGACAGGAGTAAACTGGTTCTAATCACTCATGGGCTGATCTGAACAGAGAATAATTACTTTCCTGTTAAGGGCAGACTCTTCCCATTGTCTCTACCCACCCCACTTAGTTCCAAGTAGAACAGCAGAGATTTGTTTCAGAGGACTCAGAACTCTCAGTGTCACAGGGATCCATGAACTGCATTTAGCAGAAGCAGGGACGAAGAGGACTCATTGCTTTATTCATTCATTTGTTCATTTACAAAGATGTATGGACCTACTGTGGAACAAGCTTTATGCTAGGCAAACAAGCCCTCTTTTTAGAGAGCTCACTTCAGGAATCCTGCAGAGTCTGGAGTCATGCCTTTTATAAAGGTCTTTTAAAGTTCTGTCATTCAGATTGTATTCCAGAATGCAGAGGATTAAACACAGAAAAACACCATTTATTCAGAGTCACATGAAAAGCCAAAAGAAGGGAGCTTCCCTGGTGGAGCAGTGGTTAAGAATCTGCCTATGCAGGGGACATGGGTTCGAGCCCTGGTCTGGGAAGATCCCACATGCCATTTAGCAACTAGGCCCATGTGCCACAACTACTGAGCCTGTGCTCTAGAGCCTGTAGGCCACAGCTACTGAGTCCACATGCCACAACTACTGAAGCCCACACGCCTATAGCCCATGCTCCACAACAAGAGAAGCCACCACAATGAGAAGCCCGTGCACCACAACGAAGAGTAACCCCTGCTCGCCACAGCTAAAGAAAGCCCACGTGCAGCAACGAAGACCCAATACAGCCAAAAATAAATTAATTAATTAAAAAAGGAGAAAAAAAAAGCCAAAAGAAGATAGCCAATGTAAATCAGAAAAAACAGGGATCACTGAATATATTTAAGGAATGTAATCTATTATTTTTTGAGGAATATTCACTAATTTGAAGTTTCTATTTTGATAATATTTCCTAGTAGAATACCTTCTTGAGAAGATAGAACTTTATTATTGTTATTTTTTAATAAATTTATTTATTTATTTTTGGCTGTGTTGGGTCTTCATTTCTGCACGAAGGCTTTCTCTAGTTGTGGCAAGCGGGGGCCACTCTTCATCGCGGTGCGTGGGCCTCTCACTGTCGCGGCCTCTCTTGTTGCGGAGCACAGGCTCCAGACACGCAGGCTCAGTAGTTGTGGCTCACGGGCCCAGTTTCTCCACAGCCTGTGTGGGATCCTCCCAGACCAGGGCTCAAACCCACGTCCCCTGCATTGGCAGGCAGATTCTCAACCACTGCGTCACCAAGGAAGCCCATATTGATGGCTTAGAACTTTATTTATAAAGGGCATCATTTTCGTCTAAAGATTGGATCACACTTATTATTTACACTGTATCTTTTTTCTCAAATGGGTTAAACATTTTCTATTTAGGTCTTAAATTCTTTATTTGCTTACTAACATATTTACTTTTCATAACCTACAACATGACAGAACAAACTTTAACTCATTTGAAATATAATTACTAGAAGATTCTAATTTGAAGACTGAAATAATAAGATTCCACTAATCCAGTTAATAGTTCATTAAACACTTACTATGGTTCAACCACTGAACCAGTTGTAACCTAACTGTGTTGAAGCTTGTGATTAAGCAATTGAAATACATTGTATACAGTGGTGTGTATTAATGTGTGTGTATGCATTTGTGTGTTTACAGTTCAGGTGGAAATGAATATAGGCCATAATATTAAATGAAAAAAAAAAACAAGCAAAAACTCAATCTGTGATATGATATGTAGCTGCGGATAAAGGAGTAGAAGGGGGCACAAACATGGTTTCACTTGTTGATGGGATAGGGTCAATTTATTTTTCTTTGTAAGTTTGTTTGTTTGTTTGTTTATTTATGGCTGCGTTGGGTCTTCGTTGCTGCGCACAGGCTTTCTCTAGTTGCAGTGAGCAGGGCTACTCTTTATTGTGGTGCGTGGACTTCTCATTGCGGTGTCTTCTCTTGCTGTGGAGCACAAGCTCTAGGTGCGTGGGCTTCAGTAGTTGTGGCTCGTGGGCTCAGTAGTTGTGGCTCGCAGGTTCTAGAGCACAGGCTCAGAAGTTGTGGCGCACGGGCTTAGTTGTTCCGCAGCATGTGGGATCTTCCCGGACCAGGGGTCATGGCATGTCCCCTGCATTGGCAGGCGGATTCTTAACCACTGTGCCACCAGGGAAGTCCCTATTTTTCTTTTATTTTGAATTCTACTGACAGTCTTACGAAGTTGTTTTTGCAATAAAAAATGGCTAAACAAAAATGGATCCAGACTGACCTGTTTGTTTTGAGTGGATTGGAGCAGAGATTTGAAAGAGGAACCACTGGAAGGTTTGTGTAATACAGATACATCTGTAAATCTTACAGGGGGGAATATCCTGACATCTTCTATAATTTCCAAAATGTCAAATTCCCAAATAAAAGGTTTTAGGTGAAGACTGTAAAGAAATGGTGAGATTTTGGTCTACATATTTTTAGTACCCAAAAGAAAAGATTGAGGAAGCCAGGAGCTTTATTTGCTTAATGTTAAATAACCATATGTTTGAAAATATTTGTATTATTCTACCTCCCCCATCCAGTAGTACTTAGATGCAGAATATCTCATACAGTTTGTTGACTCAGAGTATAAATGAGTATCAGAAGTATTTTAAATAAATGATAAATAATCAACTTGATTTGATGATATTCTGTAGGCCCAGGGTTTTTATTTTGATGAAGTCGTCTGCCAGGAGAAGCAGGTGGTGAGATCCGCACTTGTGGGAAGAGAGTAAACATATTCTGGTTTACAGGGAAATAGAAAAGCCGGGGGGTGGGGAAAATCACCTTGCCTGAGACAATAGATGCTCTAAAATTGAGCCTCTTCATATTATCATAGAAATTACTTGCTGGCAGTAGTGCAAAAGGCTGTTATATATTATTGTTAATTGTGGTTGGAGACACAAAGCAATATGATCATTTGATGACTTATTTGTTTTTGGAAAATGACAGCTTTTGTGTGCCAGTAAATATGAAATCCCCTGGAAATATTCTTGTAAATTTAGGAGCCATCTGATCGTCCTTGCTTAGTACGTACAATAGACTTTAATGATGACACGGAAGTTTGTACTTAGCAGATTACCTGATGGTTCTGCATCAGTTATCCAGAAAGGGAACACTGTCTGCTTGGTGACTACAAGACAGAGAGACCTATTACTTTGTCGGAATTTATGGTCGATGGACAGTGGCTTCACCAGAGCATGGGAGGGGAGGCAATTAGTCTCCAGTTTTGTGTGTGCTCTTCATCTTGTCCGGAACAGAGCTGACAGCCACAGCGTTCCGCTCACTCCACTTCATCCGTCCCTTTCTCCTCTTCGAGAAGGGCAGGGTGAAAGAACAGCGAGGAACCTGAAATTCATCAGGCTGAGAGTGTCTGGTGTGAGATCGTTGTGTGCCATTTGCTGTGATCGGACACCACTTTGGAATATGACAGTAACTATTCTGAGGTTTTAATACGATTGCCTCCAAATGCCTGAGAAAGCCCTGTGTGTTTGCCTGGCACTCTGTTCTCTTACGACAGGGCTCTAGTTTTTTTTTTTTTTCCTTCCTTTCTCTCTCTCTCTCCTTTTCCTGGAACCGCCACATCCTTAGCTGGTAATCTTTAAACCCTGGGCTGCAGTGATCTCTCTTCATACGGCCACACATTAAGCACATCTTTCATGCTTCTCCAAACCAAACTCAGAAAGTGCCAATGAATAAGCTGTTGGGGAAGAAGTCAGTGGGTAGCATTAAGGCCACCTGACTGGAGGCGTTAGGTGTGCACTTTGACTGAGTGAAAGGCAACCTGCAGAGTCGGGAATGAGGTACTTTATCACATATTCCTAGAGGCGTAAAACAAGAGAGTAAAAAGCCATTTTCAGAGCAGCTCCTCCGTCTTGTTCCTATTGTGGATGGTTCACACTGCTATGGCCAAGGTTAACCCTCAAAAGGAGAAAGTTCCAAGCCTCTGGAGCTGTGAATTTTTACATGAGTATAGCGTATTCTCTTGTCAATAGGCCAAAGATGAAGAAGGGCATCCAATGACTTTTTCCATGGAACTTACATTCATATCTGTTCAAATTACTCTCGGCATCTTTCTAGATCTATGTGACTACTCTGAAAACTTTCCATTCATTCCTTTAACTTCCGTTCATTCATGTCAAATATTTATTGAATATATAATATATGCTGGACCTCATTCTAGCTGCTGGGAAGGCACTTGTGGGGATAAAAATAGAGAAATATCACTCTTCTCATGGGTTTGTGTTCTAGAGAGAATATATAGACAATAAAGAAAATAAATAAGTAAACTATTAATATGTTAGTAGGTGGTAAAGGAGCCTTTGGACAATACCCAGAGCAGGCTTTTGAATGCACAGTCTTTGACTCAAGACTCAGAAAATCAGACTAAGGGCAGGATGACATGGGATATTGTTGATGTGAACAGGAGGGTTTGCCATGGAGAGAAAAAACAGCGGACTCCATCCTCTTTCTACTTCATTCCACCTTTCTCACAAAAGACTGTGACAAGTTTCATCCCCCCACAATGGAGACTAGACAAGGCTCAGCAGGAAGGAGGGCTGGGGTTAGGGGAACAATGGGAAATATTTCAGATCAAGGAAATAACCTTGGGAAAAAAAAAAACCAAGGAGCCCTATAGGAGGGAAGAAAATGCACTCCTACATTTCCTCCTCCTTCCTTTCAGTCTGTCCCGCCTCTTTCATTTCTTGGTGAAAACAGTTTCATGGCCTTGGTCCAAGGTAGGAGAGCAAACCTGACAGAGTCAAGGTCCTGGTTTGGCCAAGCATTCTTTGCCTGTTCCTTTTCCCTCCCTTGTCAAAAATTTAGCTCATTTTTAAGCCTTGTAAATTTGCACACTTACCTTTCTGTTGTTTTCTTCCCTGAACAATTCTCTGCCACAGATTATGTTGCTCACAGACCCGGAGATTGAGAGCAGCTTACTGATCAGCTCGGACGAAGGGGCAACCTATCAAAAGTACCGGCTGAACTTTTACATCCAGAGCTTACTTTTCCACCCCAAGCAAGAGGACTGGATTCTGGCTTACAGCCAAGACCAAAAGGTGAGCGTGATCCCCTTGTTCGAGACTGTGGTGCACGGTTGTCCTAGGGAAAGACAACTACTTAGTCATCGCTACGTTTCTTCTCAGCTGTCAGGTTTGTTCTGTGCAGCAGCTTGAACCCTGTGCCGGTGGGGCGAGGGGCAGCAATGTGGATCTCAGGTTGCTTGTTTGAGCTGTGTAAACACCTGAAGCAGCACACAAAGGAAAAGCTAGACCCTAAGGAAGACATTGTGGAGGAGCAGTTCTTACCTGGAAGCTTCAGGCCATCAGGAAACCCCCATAGAATTTGAGACAGTGCTTTGTGTATGTGAGATGTGATCATTTTTTTTTTTGGAATTAAGAACCCATAGCTTTTCTCAGAGCCTTAAAGGGAAGGATGACCCTGAAAGAGTGAAGAACATTAGCTAGTGATATGCTAAAATAGTGAGAGAAATGTACCCAGATAACATTCAGAATCAGGCAATCTCAGGACTTTTCTTCTCTTGGTGGTTGGGCTGAAGGATAGGTCTACGTTTTAGGAAGGCATTGAATGAAGTTATGCTATCGTATGTTTATCTGTGTGTATATATGTGTGTGCGTGCACACGCAATATGTATATGTATTTTATGGGATAAATGCTGTAAAATATATCACGTACTCTGTACTGCAGATACATTATAAAATACATGTCGCTCCAGCTTTTAAGGAACTTATATTTTCAGCTAGAATATAAGGCTAGCAACAGCAAATACCATCAGATTAGAATTAGAGGCAAAAAGTATACAAAGGCAAATGTGAGAGAGGCTGTAGCCGTAAAAGGCAAAAGGGAAATAGGTAAAATGTTCGAATGCTTTTTGTGAAATTCACGGTTCAGTGAGGTCATCCTGAGAATTACCCTCAGAGGAATTATATGTTACAAATTACATACATTTAAAGAACTACTGGACTTTCCTGAGTGAGGAGAATATTCTAGGGTTAAAACCCTAGAATACTTAACCAGGTGGTTAAAACCGTCTGAGCTGGTATAGACGTATGGGGTTCTTCCTGAAGGGAAGGGAATAGTATAAACAACTTTTCAGGGTCTCTACTGACATGAGCATTTTTGAGGAAGCAAATTAAAATTCTCAGGATTGGAGTTTTATTCGCACCTGCCCTTACTGCCAAATAAAATGCACATTAGCCTAAAAATAGGAAAGACTTACAATTAGTATTTTTTTCCTCTCGAGCAGCCTGGCTCCCCTTTCAGCAGAATGTACAATTTCATTCCTGGAGTCAAGCCACAGTGCAGGTGTGCAGTTACCAGAGGCAAAGCTGAGCAGCTCAGGACACAAGAGTATTAGTCATTTAATCCACTGGGTGTTTGTATTTTATTTGACAGTTGGTTAATTTTCCCCCTGATGCCAGAGGCACACTGAGGGCCAGATCTCCCTGGCTAAATGAAAACTGTGCACCTTTGCAGTTGTGTCAGAGGAGATGCCCAAAAATTTAACCCTTCATGTGCCAGTACTTCAGACAGTGATGCCATGAGCACTGTGGCAGAGTGGATAACTCTGGAGGAGTTGGGACATGTGGCTCCGACTCAGCCACGTATGGGAATTGGTACTTGGGGTTGGCTTTCTTTGCCTTAAAATGTGTTTGTGTGGATAGTTATAATTGCAGGCGCACTTCCAATGAGATTGAAAAGAACAAAAAAACCCCACAAATATTAGACTCCATGTCTGTTTATGTGCTCAGCATGATGCACTGTTGGTATAAAATAACTACATCGAGGAGTACTCATTCCGTCTAGGGAAAGAATGTAAATGCATGTGAGTCCAGTAGCCTAAGAGGGACTAAAAGGCAGATAGATTCTTCATTCACACATGGTAGGTACCCAGTCAGAGCAGCTGGAAGGACTATATGAAATTGGCAGCCCAAGTTTAGGAGGTGGAGATCTTATAAAATGATTCCACCTGGACTTTAATGACTGTCGTATTTCTGTGGGGGGTGGAGGGGGCGCGTTTTGCACAAGAGGGATGTCATAAACAATAATATAAATTTGTAAAGTTAGAAAACTCATGTAAACAGGATTGTGAATGTGTCTATTTGGCTGAAACTGAAATTTGGGAAAGTTAATTATACATGTACTCCTGGAACCTAATCTTAATTTCTTTTTGGACCACTTTGACTGTTAGGCAAAATAATTTTTGTTTTCCCAATTAGGAGCCTTTTGAACGTTTTGGTCAGTGGAATTATGTGTTCAGAGCTATAGATTACAAAGATTAATCTGGTAGTAATAGTAGAATGAACTATGGTGCTGTGAGGTCAAAACCAAGAAGACCAGTTAGGATGGTATCACAGTAGGCTTGGTCAGGACCAAAAAGTATCTTTTGTGACCATAGACCAAATGAATTCTATCATTTTAGAGGTAGAAGAAGCCTTAAGAGTCTTTGCTCTGTATGTAGCTAACAAACCAAAAATCTTAGACGTTAATGAATTTTCCCAAAGGGGAAAGCCACTCATCTGTGTCACATGTCTAAGTTCAGCAATTGGAATTTGAATATGATATTTAGTAGGGTTCACTGCTAAATGGATGGTCATATCGGGAGATTAGCAAAGGGGCAGAAGCCAGCCTTTCTGCTAAGCTCTCTGTTTCTCCAGAAGAGAATGAAGGAGAAATCATCCTGGGAAAAAAAAAATTATAGCTCACCTGCTAATATGAGTAGGGGTTGGGGAAGGGCTCCATATATCAGGGCTTGAATCACAGCATGAGGAGTGGGGCATTAGCGGGGAGTGGAGTGGGCTGCAGCCATCCAATGAGCCATTAGCTGGTGGTGTTGGCCCGAAGGCAAGTGGAGAAGGTCTGTGGCCACTCAAGCAGGTCAGTGATACGGAAATAATAGCTGGCAATCAGCCATGAATCACGGAGCTTTGAACCCTGATGAGATGCAGCAGTGGGCCCTAAGGAGGGCCCCGTGCTAGTGTTGGCAGGCCAGCGACTTTTGGAAGTGGGAACACTTATTTTTTCATGTAAGTGTTGTTCATCAATATGTCTGTGACAGTTGCTACTGTTGCAGAACTCTCAGCAAAGATGGTAGGTAGCTTTGGTGCTAGGATTCCCTTTGCCAGATGCTGTTTTCAAGCAGCCTGCGGTGAACAGAATCCTCAGGTAGAGAGCACCGTCCGTTAGAAGTTATTGCGTTGAGGTGGCAGCTCCGTCAGCACTCACCTGTGCACTGTCCTCCTCTCCTCTCTTCCCTTGTTTGCTGTCAGTCTTTTGAGGCATACACTCCCCTTTTGAACACATAGCCACCTTTACTTTTCCCTTATTTCCCTGCCACTGCTTTCTCTCACCTTTAGTGAATGAGACTCTGAGGGCCCTGAAGACAAAGTCTGGATCCCTGGCTTGCAGGAAAGAGCCCATGTGGTCCATGGCGTTCTGCTCCAGCTACATTTCATCTCGAGTGTCTGGACTCTCAGTAGAGGCTTTTTGATGTGAGCATTTTAAGGGACTCAGAAGAGTTTGGTTGAACAGATTGTGCTTTCTGGCCCAAGACAGAGTTTTACTGGCCATCGTTCCATAGGAAGCCAGATTAAAAAAAAAAAAAAAATGCTTTTAATCAGGGAGAAATGTGTATGACCAAATGCTCTCAAAATTCATAAGATCAGGTTATTTTGATATTTTAGCCTTTTTTCTTATTTTTTTCTTAGAGAAATCTACCTGTGATATTAAAGATGTAGGTGATTGCCAAGAGGTAAAATTTTTTTGAATGAGCATGTGACTCTCCAGCCACCACTAGGATGACTGAAGAGATTTGGGACCTTTTTCCCTTTGAAGCTCTAAAAGAAGTAGCTTGACTTCTTAAAAAGCCCTGTTGGGGGACTTCCATGGTATAGACACAGGCGATAGACTCCTTGGCCTCTGAAGGTTCTATGTGAGGAGGTGCCTTTGGAAAGCCCTGGAATTTTCAGAAAAATAAGCATTATAGACATTATGGAAACTTCATGCCAAATGGGCAGAGGGATACCTGTTATGTACAGCCACACCTTTTAAGCTTCTTACAAAACAGCAGTGAATCACTGTGGATGCCGTGAAGAATTCCACAGCATTTATACGAGGACCCCCAACATCTCACTCTCCATTATTTAGTTTTGTTATTTCTGTAATTAAGCAGTTGGCAAACCAAACATTCTGCTCCTTCCTTTTGTTTCTTGGCATTTGAAACCGAGCAGCCAGGAGAACAGAGGTACAGAGCTTCCGCTTCTTTCCTTGTTTTCCCCCCACATTGTTGCCTCAGTACAGGAAACCACCCAAGGAAGGCTTAGCAGCAGGCCAAGTGTGCCAGATTACATCTTTATTTTAATTTGGCAATAAACTAGTGTACAAACTGTGCTATGAAACATTGCCTCCAGTGGCATCTCTCAGTCTGTCTCAAACACGTCACTAAACGTGTTGGGAGACAGTGGAAATGAATGAAAACAAAACACAGATGTGACTGAAAGAAAAAAACAGGAGAAATGTGTAAGAATAAGCATCTACCTCAGCTCTGCTGACCATCCTGGGGCGCTGGGCTCGGGGCCTCTCTGTTAGGGGTTACACTGCGGAGCGAATTGTATAGGGGCGAGTCTGCAATGTTGTGAAGCCAACGTGAACGCTCCTGGGACTCAAGAGTGCCTCACAGCTGGGGAGGAGAGATCCCCTTGCTCGGCTTATCCAGGCGGAAGACCTCTCCTACAGATGTACCTGCTGCCCCTGACCATAAGCAGGAGGGTCCACGTTTCTCCAGTCCTCTACAGTGAGCTTTTTCTCCCCACTCTGGGTGCCCAAGTCCTTCTAGACTGTGGACTCAGTTCCTACACAGATAAGCAAGCAACTAAGTGAACACGGCGGCTGGGTCTGGGTTGTGGGAAACTGGAGAGCAGGTGTTCATTCAGGAGGGTGGGGTGTGGTGGGGGGTCTTGGTGAGCTCCAGCCTGCTGTTCTTGCCACCGAGGATGGCTCATTCAATGTCACCAGACTTCTCAGAGTTTTTCGAGAGAAG